GTTCTGGGTGTTTTTCTTCCTTATGTCCCACCATCTGCAGCACAGACAGATCAGCCATCACCCTGGGCAAGCTGTTTCTATTCCTCCTGAAGCATCAGATATTAGAAGAGGAGAAGATTAACAAACTGCACATTTACAGGAGGATGATAAACAGAAGTTTTGAAACAGCCCTAGATCATAAACCTAACTAGACTTAACTTGCTTTCTTTTGTTAGAAGACATATATATATTATTACATTTCTCTGCTGACAGAGCCTACCTGATCACAGCAGAGCAAAAATGTTCTAAATCAAGAAAGAAATCTTAGATGCTTCCACAGCATGATTTTTTACTTTGATCTTCTCATTTCCTACCTACAACATCAACCTACAGTAGTAAGTTAGTTGTCTGTAGTAAAAAAATGAAGTTGCAGAAGCACCAAGATGCAAAAAGAATAAGGTCAGAAATGCCTCCCTGCTGTCAAGAACATAATTATTGCACATGCAAGTTGTTCCTGCCTGTGGATCAGAGGAGCTGCTGCAGGCTGCTGGAGGGAGGAGTGGCTGCTGCTGATGCAGGGATGACAGTTCCCTTTCCGTGGATTTGTCTGGAGCCTGGGGGTGCAGCTCCCAAGGCAATTCCTCCTGCCCAGCAGCTTCCAGGGGGGCTGCTCACCCCCTCTCTCCTCACCTGGCAGAAGGGAGCATATGGCTGCTTACTTGTGCTCTGCTGTTCTTATGTGCTTAGTGGGCTTATGGTCCAGAGGGGCTTGGGGGGATTTGCACAGGGAGAGGGCAGGGAGGGACCTGGAAAGGATCTGCATCCATGGGAAGTGGAGTGGCACCAGAGGTCTCTGTGTGTGTCACAAGAGTAATTGAATTTTTGGGAATGACTGACATTGAGTAAACAGTGCCTAATTAGGGATCAGGAGATGATTAATGATTACACAGCATCGTAACTGAAGATATGAAATTTAAAAATTCATTTATAAGGGGAAGAGATTTCTTCTCAACAGCCTTGTGTCCATATAGAACTATATTCACACTTTTCTTCTTGGTATCGTCTATTCTTCAACAAAGAAAAGGGCCTGATCAGCCTTGGTATTTTTTAAGTGCTTGCAGAGACATCAGCTGGGTTGCTCCTCCTGGAGATGGTGTGTGTGAGGATTTGCCTCCTCAGCTCAGTCCTGCACTGCTGTCCTCTCCTTCTGCCTCCTGCATTTTGAGGGTCATCCTCACCTTCCTTCCCTCATCTGGCAGAGTCTTCTCTAGGCTCTGCACAGACACATCTTCTCATGTCTCTGTGTAATTTCAACAACAAACATTAGTTCAGTCTTATCCTTCCTGTAGCCAATTAACAGATTCACTTCTCATCTGTAGTACTTAAATCTACTTTGACCAGCCTAGACTTTTGCTCTGAGTATTTTGCCTTTAAAAAAGAAATTACAAACAACTCAGGCTTATTAAAACTGAAGCAGAGCTCTTATTCTGTCACTCCTCAGCTCCTTTCATCTACTTTTTTCAAGCTTTACAAAAGTTGCCACGCTCCTGAGTCTTACTGATAGTTAGAGCCTCAGTATTGTCTTCAAGCAAGCTTTTGTGAAGCCTCACATCCAGGTTCTGACCAGGGGCTCCTGAGTTGAGGTGCTCAGCTGTGTTGCTAAAACAGCCCCATCCCAGGTCACTGCCTGGCACTCCTGCAGAGGCTGCTGTCTCTGTGCATCCTGTTGGACTGGACACATCTCTGCTCCTCAGCTGCAGCACTGCGAGAGATGGAGAGCAAAGGCACATCTGAGCAGGGAGACAGAGGAAATGCCAGTGTCTCTCTGAGCTCAGCCTCCTAAATGCCCTCAAACACACCAGTGTGAGTCTTGCAGATCCCACTTGCATCTATCCCATCTTCAGGACACAGCCTTTCTCCTTTCCTTTCTGTTCTGAAGCTTTGAAATCATCTCTTCTGCCCTTGACAAACAAAGTCTTGCTGTGCTTGTATTGATTACAAATTTCACCTGTTGCCTATTTCACCTATTTTCCTGCCCTTTGTCCTTGCTGTCACTTTTTGCATCCCTTCCATTAATTTGATTTTTCTTTCTGAAATGAAGAATCAGCTTCTTTACTTTGAGGGCTCCAAGCAAATTAACCCCTCCCTTCCCACCACTTGTCAGTCAGGTTTGAAGGATGGATCCATTGCAGATCATCCTGCAAACAGCCCCAGCTTCTGCTGCCCAAGTTTTATACTGGCTGGAGGGAAGCTTCTCACAGATGCTGTAAAACCACCCTTGTTGTCTTTCATATCTCTCACTGGAAAGACAGCTTTGTATTTCAGGTTAAAAAAGAAGAAGGAGGACTGGTCTTATCTCCTTTCCTATGCATGTGGTTTATCTGCACCTGCCTCTTGTCTTGCAGTTTGCAATTTAAATGGCAAATCTTACCCTGTGCACGAACCTCCTCGCTTGATACATCTTGTCACCTCTAAAATAGCACAGATGAAAATAAGTTATGCTTTGGCTTTGACTTCTTTTGGAGTCGTGGATGAGAATGCTAGATCTGACCAGCTGGCTGAGATCCACTTTGTAGATACTTCCCTAATTCACTAAAGTTTAACCCAAAACGCTCCTTAATTTGGATCTAGCACTCTACAATTAACCCTTTGCATTTCTATCATTAAATACCCAACACTTGCAAAGCTATAGTCTCTTCCTGTGGAGAATCAGAGCTTTGCTTTGGCTTCTTGGTCATCTTGCCATGCAAACATGAGTTCTTCACTGTGGTGACAGCATTCTGACAGGGTCCTTGTCATCCCACAGGCCCAGGGAAAGCTGCATATACACTGGAAATACCTTGTTACTTACTCCCTCCAGAGCAGCAAACATGTTTTTAAAGGCAGTGAAGATTTGCATTAATTTATGGTTCTCTTTCTTCTGTGCACATGCCCTGGGCCAGGCTGCATGTGAGAAAACAAGGTTTGCAACCCCTTTCAAGTTTCCACTGGTGTTAAGCTAATGTTTATTTTTAGTAAACTGTATTTCAAATTGTGCTTTTAAGAATCCGTTTGCGAAGCCTAGCACAACAATTTCAATACATTTTATCCTTCTGAGCTTTTCATTAACAAATAAAAAAGGGTATAAAGGATCAGTGTAACTAGTTATTCTGTATTTCACTGATAATTTTCAAAAGTATGGGTCCAGCTCGAGAAATGGTAAGGATTACAAGCATTCATATCAGCTGAATTTTTTCTCCCTGTGCTGCTACTAACTACCCAGCTTTGGGAAGGCTGTGTGGATGCTCCTTCAGGGCAGGCCTTTCCTGCTGTGCTGTGTGGGTGTCCCTGTCCCCACACCCACACATGGTTCCCTTTTCTTCGTTCTCAAAATCCTTCCCTTTTAAGTGCTTATCCAGTAAGGCCACCTGCCAGATAAAGCACTGTCAGCCTCTCTTGATAAGGTAATAGCTCTGAAACACTCTTCTCCATTCGGAGTGTGGTGTTTGCCCTGCGTGCTCCTTTCACTTCCCCTTGCCTGCACAGGTGCCTCTGTCCCACCCCAGACCTCTCCCTCTCCCCAGGCAGACAAGGAAATGTCATTTCCATTTGCTGCTGCATGTCAGTCTCTGGGCTCTGTTATAAAGTCTTGTTTTCTGTTTCTTTCAGTTCTGAATGATAGTTATTTCACACACTTTAAGAAATTTAATACTTGCAGTCAGCTTCCAATCTGCAATGATTTTTACAGTATTCTCATAAGTACTCAGCCTGAGGATGTGCTGCTACAGCTTTGTGTAGCTACAAGCTAAGACTACCCAAAATGCTGGGCAGGAAGAGGGTCTGGACTTTTTATTGCAAAACCAAGAGTTATATTAGAGGTGCAAGCATTATTTTATAGTAGCTATAGAAAGACATAGCAGTGAGCAATTAGTTTGTGTGAATAATATAGATAATTAGTTTCTATAGGTTGCATGTTTGAAGAGTACTGTTTAGTCATGCATCTCTGCAGCACAAACTGGCACATTCTTAAGATCATGTTTGCTTTTTTAGTGCCCTTCAGTCTGTCACAGAATAGTCCTGTATTCTATTGGTACTCTGATTCCAAATTTAGGAGTATTTCCTCCCAAACATGTGCATGATGCAGTGTGTATGTGCCCACAAGGAAGAGGAAGCAGATGACTTGTGTTTAGTGGAGTGGTTGTTTTGAGCTGGAATGCTGCAGGCTCCCTGTTGGAAGGAAATGTGCCTGCCCATTCATTCAGGAACAAAGCTGCTGTCGTGGCTGTGCTGATCCTGCCTCAAGGCTTTCTGCAGAGTTTTGAGTGGAGAAAAATGTCATTTCTTCCATCCTTCACAGCCTTTCTCCCTCTTACCTTTCCTCACTGAAACATAGTGTGCTGGTCAATGCCTTCATTTCATGTGGGATCTCAGCTGAGGTTCTTGTCACTGGAGGAGAGAGGAGACTGGATGGGAGTTGGTGGAGAGATCCAGCTGGGTCATTGCTCAGGGGTGCTGGGGTATGAATCAGCAGTGTGTGTGCCTGAGCTGGCACATGGCACAGGTGGATAGGGCACCCAGGCACATGGAGACAAAGATCAGTGGAGTTGCTGTTGCAAAGGAGGTGTGAGAGAAATGGTCAGGTTGTGTAGGGGTCCTCTGGAAGTGGAAGATTGTTCCCTAGGTGTGACAGCTTTGATAGAGCAACTTTACAAGTGCTTTAGAACCAATTCTTGTGTTCTCTTCTCATCTGTGGCCTCAAGATGGCCTGTGATTTCAGTGCTGAGGTGCAGTCCCAATGTCATGCTCTCTACTGTCAGATTGTCCAAACAGGAGTCTTCAGTATCCTTTTTTTTTTTTTTTTTTACTGCAGAAGATGCTCTAAAATCCCTTGCTGGTTTACAGTTTAAGGATTTGGCTACCTTTGTTTTGTTTCACCTATACTTTCTATGTTAAGTACCTCTGCTTTTTTTTTTTTTTTAATGAAAATTTCCATATTACTGACAGTGTATTTGAAGCCCTTTTTTTCCCCATTCTGCTTTCAGATTCCATTGGTGGGTCGTTTTCAGCTTCCTCCCACCGATGCCACCACAAGCAGAAGCACTGTCTCCCCATACCACAGTGTGGAACTCTGTCCATCAGCCCTCTGCTGTTCCATCCTCACACAAAGGGATCCCAGATCATCATGGACACAACACAGAAGGCAGTGAAGCGCCAGGCTAGCTTCTGCAATGCCATCACCTTCAGCAACAGGCCCATTGTTATCTATGAACAAGTCAGGCTTAAGGTGAGTAGATTATACCTTCCCTTTTGGCCATGGGATCTGCTGGGAGTGAATGCTGGGGTGTAGGGGGGCTTTGGTGCTTGCAGCAGATCTTTAGCCCTTCCTTGAAAAGTGCAGTAGTCAGATCTTGGCCTTAAAGGTCTGCAGTCTTCATTGGTACTTCTGCTTTTGTCACTGTAGTTCTTGGAGCCACAGGTACAGACTGCTGTAGAAACTGAGAGCAAAAGGGAAATCCACCTCCCAAAAATACTTACATTGATGTTAGACAAGTACAGCAGATTAAATTGAGATCACTTGGAAAGCCAGGAGATAAGATGTCAAAAAGGACCTAGAAGTGAAGGTTCTTACTCACATGCTTGATAGGAAAAACAAAAGAGTTTGGAGGAAAGAAGGAAAGGAGCAGTTAGTGTGATCACTGTTGCTGGACCTTTCTGGCAGCCTGCTGACTGCTTTGTTGAATCAGTCACCTGATAGCATTAAGATCAGAGGAGAGAACATTGCAGGAATCACATTTTTCTCACTGGCACAGGCTGATTTCACTTCCTTTGTGTCTGTGGTGGCCTGGAGGATGGAGTTTGTACCCCTGGTACCAGGCCATGCTGCAGCTGGCATGAGAAATCCAGCTTGTCTAAGACCACATGCCTCCATGAACACCAGGAGCTGCTTTCTGATGAAGAAACTCCTCCATGTCCTTAGGAACTGAAGCACTTTTCAGGTTATTAGCATCCACAGATACTTTCAAATCTTTGTGCCCTCTAGTTTATGGGACTGCCCTTTTCTGTTCATAGCCAATTTCATGCCTTTATTGGCACAAAAAAGGTCAGCTTTGGCCACTTTTGTTCATTGCACACATGAGTGATCTGACTGCAAATCCTTCAATTGTGCAGAAAGAGTTTTCCAGAAGGTTTATCAGCATATAGATACATGATTTGAATAATGTTGCTGTTGCCCATTTTTAGAGGTCCTGGAATGCTGGGTCCTACAGCAGCATTTCAGCCTTCCCTGCCTCTTCCCTCACAGCCAGCAAAGGCGCAAGGAATGAGGGACATGTTTCTTTTGTAAATGTGGAGATTTCAGTGATTTCAGGCTCAGGCCCAGAGATAGAAAATCCCCACTGCAGGTTTGTTATGCTTCCTGTGGATCTCTTACTGCTTCTATCCAGGCTGGAAGCCCAGCAGGAGTCTCTCACATTGCCTAATGAGATTTCTCCCATGTTGGCCAGCAGTTTGGACTAGCAACTGTGACAAATAATCTGGGAGAAGATGAAAGCAGCATTTCACTTTTGAAGACACCATCAAAGATTTGAGTGGATTTAGTGGTTTAGGCAAAGGTTCTGGGTTTCTTCCTCATTCTGAAACAAGGTAGCTATCTCTGGAAATTCACACTTGTTTATCTGTGTATTTGGGGATTTTAGCTTACATAACATATGTGAAGAATATGCATGCAAATCTGCACAGGAGATTTATGAGCAGAGCTCCTGCTGACTCCAATGGGAACGTCTCATGGGAGTAATCAACAGGCTTTAGCAGAACTTGTGCTCTAGGGAGGGATGAAATGGGAAAACATCCTTGCTGTTGTATGATAAATCCATCCTGCTACTGCCTTGCTGTTGCTTGTCCTTGTGGAAAACAGCACCTTAGACCTTCTTACCAGCCACACACTAACCATGAGCCCACTCATTCACGTCCTATGAAGTCTAAACTCCCTCTGCAAAAATGAGGAAAGAAGTAAGGAGATTCCATTCTGTTTATTAGCTATTGTATCTCAGGTTTTACACTGACATTATTTTGCAGATATGGGAATATGGCTGTCAAGCAGCCTCAGAGGCAAATGCTCCAGTATGTTTTCTTCCATGTAATTTGGGGCATTGCTAGGAAGTGTAGCTCTCAAAGATGGCATAAGGCAGTAAAGATCAGGAGCCTGTAAAATCTGTAAAAGCAGCAATGGTTTAGCAGTTTTCATGTTGATTCTGTATTTTCCTCCCCTTCTGGTACCCGGTGGACCTCCCAAGCTTTCCTGCTAGCAGTGGCTGCTGAAAAGAGAATTTGGTCCATCATTAACTGTTGCCTTTTTTAGCAAAACTGTGTGCCCTTTGTCCAGCTGTGTCTAATTCTTGGCAGGCTTTAGACTTGATTTTAATTTGGATATTAGTTTGCCTGTGGTCAGACTGTATTGAGAACTGTTTATAGGTGCTGATTAATACATGGAACATGTGCAGCCTCAATTACCATATGAATATTTACTTCATGCTGCCTGTGATTGCTGTGAAGTATTGGCAAGAGGCTGAATTGTACAAATGACAATGAAGCCATATTTATCTTAGACCCAAAAGCTTTTAGGGCTTGCAGTAAATTTGCTGCAAAAAATAACCCAGGCTTCTTCTTGGAGTGTGTTATGTTTCCCTGTTTTGTCATGTGCACACCCTGTTAACCCCACTTCTACTGGGGACATGCATGATGCCATCCCACCCTGGCCAGGTATATAAAATAGCAAATCTGCTTCAGTCCTTTTTAGTTTAGGAGCTTCCTGTGGTTCCTGGGACTGTGGTCAGTGCTCAAGTGTTTCATGGAAACAGTTCAGGTGCCTGGATGGACTGAGTAGGGATAAAGAGCAGCACTCCCTTCACTGAAAACTTGTCCATTGATTACTTTTTTCTGAGTTCTGAGTTATTTTCTCTGATACTTTAATTATAAAAGAGAAATCTGTGGGCTTTGAACAATGTCTTTGTTGTAAGATTATTGTGACCCCAGGGGCACATGTTTGAGATTTGCCTTGAAGAGGAATATGTAAAAGGAAAACACTGTATTTACAAATTTGATTAGCAGGGAATTCAGAAGTCCAAAGAAAACATCTTGTAGAATTCCTTGGTGAAAATTCTGTGCTTCCAAGCTGGGACATGTGGGGCTGCTGCCAGGCTTTTGAGAACAAAGTCCTGCAGTCCTGGACAGTTCAGTCTCTGTCATTGCCATTCATCTGAGCCATTAGTGCTTTGGCAGAGCATGAAATTACAGAAAGGTAACAAGTTTTGTGTGGCCTCTGGTAGGTAGGTGGTACCTCTCCATGTTTCTGCCCTTGCCCTGTGGCCAGCAGTGGAGTTGCTTGAGGCTGCCAAGGCATTGATGGAAGATGACTATCTCAGGTGCTCTTGTGTTTGCTGCAGGTTCAGAGTGTGAACAGATGCTCTGATTGTGGGTCAGCTGGCATGCAGGAACTGTCCTGGCCCCACATCAGAGTTGGATACACCATCCTTAGATCTTTCATGTCAGTCCTCATGCTGACAGGCTGAACCCCTTTGAGAGGAACAATTCCTAACAGGTTCATACTCAAGTAATAAAATGAGAGGAAAAACTTCACCAAGGACATCACCTGAGGACCATACTAACTCTGGAAGACTCCTTGCTTCCATGGGAAAAAAAAAGAGACCTTATAACTGGGTAGTAGTGTTTCAATGAGCTGCATGTATTTAGGACCTGCTGCCTGCTCCCCACAGTCCCCTGCTGGCCAGGGCTCAGTTCTTGTGAGTAGAAACTGATGACTCTGGAGGTATCTGTGATCTCTTGTCCTGCTGTCTGTCAGGTGCAGAAGGATGGGTATTACACATGAACCATTCCAAAAACCACAGCAGATGTTCCTGACCCTGACACACTGAGCAATTGCATACTGGCAGGTTGGGGTGTAGTTATGCACAACATATTTCACAAAACACCATTCACAGCTGAAATAAGTAGGTTTTCCCAATCATAAGATAACATCTATTGTTGCTTCAAAATTTTGTACTTAACGAAGTCAAATACTTTATATTGTGCTTTCCCACACACAAGTTCGCTGCTATAAGGCTGTGATTTCAATATGTCATCCAATATGACAAGTTAAATAAAGGAAAGACTGTCTTTTACTTGCCTGAGAAGCCCAGAAAACCCTGTGGAGATAACTGTGATTCTGGAGCTTTTCTTTCAGGTCAGAGAGATGAGAGACCCCATCATCTGAGCACCATGTGGGAAGAGCTCTGCTGGGATTAAAGGTCTTGTGCCCATTTTTGGCACATTTTGTGTAAGGGTTATTCTTAGACCAAAAGGAATTACCCTAGAAATAGAAATGAATCATCATGCAGCTGTAATTACATTTCACCTATCCACATAGATTTAATTTGATTTATTTGGTTTTAAATATGGGCATCGTATCCTAAGTGTGCAGCAGCATTGCAGTGTGCAGCTGAGAAAGCTACAGCAGTGTTTGGTGGGTAAAATGTTTCCTAAATCTGGTGGAGCTGGCCAGTGTTGGATGCACAAATCCTGTGGTGTGTGAGTTGGTGTTCAGTGGCCAGCCTGTCATTGCTGTGTTGTCTTTGCAGATCACCAAAAAGCAGTGCTGCTGGAGCGGGGCCCTTCGGCTGGGCTTCACTTCCAAGGACCCATCGAGGATCAATCCCGACACCCTGCCGAAGTACGCCTGCCCTGACCTGGTTTCCCAGAGCGGCTTTTGGGCCAAGGCTCTGCCCGAGGAGTTCGCAAACGAGGGGAACATCATTGCCTTCTGGGTGGACAAGAAGGGACGAGTGTTCTACAGGGTGAACGACTCCCCTGCCATGCTCTTCTTCAGCGGCGTGAGGACGGCAGAGCCCCTCTGGGCCTTGATCGACGTCTACGGCCTCACCCGGGGCGTGCAGCTCTTAGGTGAGTGCCTGGCACCAAGCACAGGGGCGATGCTAAGGCATCCCTGACAGAGGATGACACTGCCTGCCCCCTCTCTGTGCTGGGACAAGTACAGGGAAACAGCTGTCCTTCCTCCCAAGAGTGTCTCGGGATCAATTTGAAACTTAGCAGGTAAATATAACCTCAGTGGGAGGTGGGAAACAGCTGCTACAACATACACTAGAAGCCATCTCTAAGTAAGTGGATTTCTGCTGAGATGTGTAGCTCTATCAGAAAATAGCCTGGAGTGTGTCATATACCTCATAATACTGTATTTTTATATCATCTTGTGCTTTCCCTGTGCCAGAGTGGGGAAGTGCATTTTATGCACTGTGGTTAAATCCTTCCTGGATGGCACTATTACGATTTTCTGTCAGGTTTATTGGACAGATTTGAAACATGACTATCTTTCAAATTACCTGAGAGAGTCTGTGGCTGGTTTTTCCAGGATGTTTTCACAGAGGAGTTTGATTTGTCCTCTGGAGCCTGAAGGTTGGATATACAGCAGGGGTTGGAGGGTGAGGAGTGCTGAGTGCCTGTGTCTTTTGCCATGAAGAGAGCTTGGTATTCATGAGGACTCAGTCCCAGATGTGCAGGCTGTCAAGGTTTGGGCTATTTGAGTTTATGCATCTTAAAGAGCTGAAAAGGATCTCTGAGGACTGAAGGGCAGCAAGGTTGCTGGGGGACCAGGAGTGTCAGCACACACCCTTAGAGGTGGCTTTGCATTGTCACTGGGAGGCAAATTGCAGCACTTCTCCATGTAAGAGTGGTTTCATGGGTCTTTTCACCATGGAAAATGTTAGATGGTACCTTCAGGAGCTGAAGTTCCTTCTGAAGATGAGATGATCTGAGGCTGAGAGAGACCCTAGCTTTTTCCTTCCATGCAGCCTGTTAAAGTGACAGCTTCATGCTGTATATCAAAAACATCAATTAAACTTCTTTCTGACAGTTCTACCTTCTTTCTGCATTCTGTGCTCTATTAAAAAATATGGTGACAGGACTACCCATAGCAATCAACAGAGCAAGGAAGAGGGATGTTCAGGACATGAAGAAATGAGACTGACCTTATTGCAAAAACTCCTGGCCTGAGATTGCACAAGGCAGAGGAATTGAAGAATTTCTCAGCAGCTTTTTCTTTTTTTAGGTGCAGAAAGATTTATCCTTTGTTGTGAATCAGCTTGAATCAGAGCCACTAAGCAACTGTTCATAGGCCAAGGTGGTGATATTTGAATTGGGATGGAGAATTTGGGCAAATGTCATGCCAAGGGTTCAGTTAGGAAGACTTTACAAATGACTCCAAGTCCTAGGGCTGTTCTTGTGAGATTTGGCTCCTCAGAACCACTCTGCCTGATTAATAAGGGTCCATAACTCTGGATTATGTGTTTCCTTTCAAAACGCCCGAGAATCCATTTCCCATCCATCATCTGCCCCTGCATTGTCCCAGCATCTTCCACATCCCCTTTCACAAGGAAAATGTGACTTCTGCCAGCCACTGGCTTACCTCTAGTCCAAGAGGCTCCTGACTCTTTGGTGAAGTCCCTGAATGAAGCAAGCAGCTTCTGAGTTTACACAGTTGGCATGGAGCTCAGATATGTATTTATAGCTTGTTTCAGCAACCTTCAGCAGGCTCTGAGCCTGAAACTGTGCTGAAACGGCTTCCACTCGAGTCCTCTCCATCTCCATTCATTATTAAGCAGCACTAAAAGTCAGAGAAGGGAAATCATCAGCTGTGTTGCCCCTGGATCCTATAGACATTCCCGTTACTATGCTCTGCATGCCTGCTGGAGTGTAGCAGACCACACATATAGCACAGGACAACTTGCCAAAAACTCCCAGGACTTGACAAATGAATTTCATAGCTTAGCTACAAACATATGGTCGAATTCAGCCTGGTATGGCATGCAGGGTATCTGATGGAGGCTGGGGATGCTGGAGCAGTATGTTGAACAGAAGAGCCTAGCATTTCAGATTCCAGCTCAGTGATTTATTACCCCCTAACCCCAAATATATTTCTTATTCTTAAGTCTCACTATTTTCTCAATGCTTGTAGGGTTACAGGGTCAAACTGCACCTCTGCACAGTCTCCATTTGCTTTTATGTGTAAGGATCACACCAAAAACTTTACCATTTCTGGTGTCTTTCTGTTTATTGCAGAATTACTCCCTTCTCACTCCCAGTAATGTAACTTCACTTCCAAAGTGAGACTTAACAAAGGAAAGACCTGGAGCAGTAATTCTGGGAGTCTCACTGCAAGATCCCAGCTCTGCAGGGAAATGGACAGTGTGCATTTGTGTTCCCAGAAGTGACAGCATCCAAAACTGCACATTTTGATTTGCTTTTCTGCATTACACTGGCAAATCACTTCCAGCCCAAATAAGGGACTCAGTAAAATGGGGTAATGACTAAGGCTAGTGACTCTGTTCCTGACTTACAGATCTAATAAAGACAGATTGAATGAAGGGAGGCCCAAAGCCTGTGAGAGTTAAGTGACTTGCCAGAGCAAAAGGTGTCACCTGCCATCATCCTTATTACCCAGCTCAGTCCTGCCTCTCTAGCTGCATCAGAGGCATTGCATAACATTCTGGTATCACTGAAAACCAGCTGGTTTGTACCTTAATTTTTCATTTTCCTCTGCTTATGGCTTTAGTGACAGCATCAGCCTTAGTGACAGTTACCCATGTGTCAGTATTGCTGTCACTGCACAGGTGCATGTGGCTGTCTCAGATGTTCCTGGGTCTGACTGTCCTTGCTGTATGTTCAAAGGCAGAGCCCCTTAAACAGCTTCTTTGCCAGCTGGATTTTGAAATGAACCAGGTGAAAAGATTTGCACAGTCCACTGCTCTGCAGCCAAGGGGAGCTGGAGCTGAGCTGGGACCATGGTTTGCTGTCACTGCTGGAGTGATTCAAAAGCAGGGACTGGTTTAAATCCACCTTGGGTTGGCTTCAGTGCTGACAGTCACAGGTGAGAGGCTGCTCCTTGCTCTCCTCTACCCACATTCTAGAGATGAAAAGGCTTAAATTCACCCCGGAATCTGGTGTCCTCTGACCACAGGGTCTCAGCTGGTTTTCTGCTACAATGTAAGGGCCCTCATAGAGGAGTCTGTGGCAATGGAGTGCATGCATGTGCTGTGTTTTAGGGCATGAGTTTCAGTGTAGGTGCAGGCTTTCATGACCTGTAAACATGCCCTTATACAGTGACTCTCCTGCTGACATGCTCAACTTGCAGGCAGGGTGGTTTACAGCTCTGCTTTCCTTTTTGGGCAGCTAGTTTTGCACAAGTGCACTTTTACATTCCAGGGTAATTTAAAGTAATGTTTACTAAAAACGTGGCTTGTCCTTATGGTATCACTTCAACATACACACATGCTCATTCACACTTTTAAAAAGAGTCCGAGAAAAATGGAATATAAGCAATCTGCTGCCTGCTGCTATAATAAAGCATCAAAAAAAGGAAAGGAAAGGCCCAGCTGTTTAAATTCTGGAGTCTTCAGAGCTGTGGAGGAAGGATGGCATCTCATGGGAACCAAGTGGTGATGTTTCATACTAACCTGCTTCTCTCAAGCGCTGGGCTTGAGCCTGGCACGTGCACTTTCCATGGATTCACTGCAGGACAGCAAGGTTGGCAACTTCCCTCAGTCACGTGTGCAGCCCAGCATGAGTGTTGTCAGCATTTTCCTTTACCTTTGGTGGGGGATTACAGGTTTGCCTCTTCTATATGGTGCCTTTTAGAAAAACATGACATTTTTTTGGACAGTGACATTGCACCACAACATTGCAGAGTGGTTAAGATGGGAAAGGCCCGATGAAGATCATCTAGTCCTACCACCTACTGTCTTTTCTTTCAAAGCACAATGCAGGTATCCTAAAAGTACAGAAAAATGGGGCTGCAAAACAGTTTTGATTCCAGCATACCTCACTTCTCATCCTGTGTTTCCAGTGAGGTAATGTGAGGTACAGTCTGCTCATTTTCCTTGGTCCCATTCTTAGTATGATCAGCAATCACACCCCTTCACTGTTTATTACTCTGTTCACACTCTTCTCCCATACATCAGTATTTTCATTCATGCAGTATTTCAAGAGTATTCTTGGTCTTTTACGAGCACAGGCTTTGAAAATCAAGGATAATTTTATTTAGATTGGCACACTGAGAGCACCTGTTAAAAGCTAAGTCTCACCACATCTTGTAAATATAAAATATGTGAAAAACTAGTAAGACTGTGCAATATTGGAAAAATTTAAATGCATGTGTATTGAATGTGCATATTAGATTTGCCTGAAGTAGAAACATATATAGTATAAATATATATTTCAGTTATAAATATATGTACAGATCCTGGGAGAATTAAATGGAAAATGGAAATTCTGTATATTGTATTAAATATTTGAGAAATCTCATTTCACCAGATCCTCTTCCTACCTTCTTATTGTTTGATGTTTGCAAAGTATCTAAGTTAAAATGTGAATTGATCCTGGATGGAAATGTACCCACCTTATGCCCTCAAGCTGGTGTCTCTTTGACAGGGAAGTTACACATTTTTTAGGGAAAGAAAGAAATGTTTTTATTTCTTCATGCCTGTCAGTTCTTACGTAGTTTGAATCTCTAGCTCCCGGCCACCTCTAGAAGAAACATTAAATAAGCCTCAAATGAGGTAGATTTATGGGCAAATTTCAGGTGTTAATGGTATAAGACTGTTGATAAATCTAATTTATTGCATGCATCTGCAGTTTTACTGTGTGGTTATTACTATTTTATTTTCCAAGTGCAAAGCTTATTTTCCATTGCCCACGGGAATCCATTTTGTTGATATTCTGACACGTGCAAATAAGCAGACTGATGTGCCAGGAGTGCTTTGCACTAAACAAAATTGGATAATCAGATATGACTGCAGTGTATTTTTATAGGGTATTGTTGAAAGTGGAAGCTATAAACAATTTATACTTTTTGTGGAAGTCTGTGACTATCTGATGGAAAAGCATTATAA